GACTTAATATAGTACTACAAAGTGGCAGTAATCAAAACAGCATGGTATTGGCAGAAAAACAGACACAAAGACCAATGGAACAGAATTGAGAGCTCAGAAATAAATCCACATATATATGGTAAAATAATTTTTCACAAAGGAGCCAAAAACATTCAATGAAGAAAAGGAAACCTCTTCAATAAACGGTGTTGGGAAAATTGGAAAGCCACATGTAAAAGAATGAAATCAGACTGCTCTCTGTCACCATACACCAAAATTAACTCAAAATGGATTAAAGACCTGAATGTAAGACCTGAAACAATAAATTGCCTAGACAAAAACATAGGTACTAAACTTAAGGACCTTAGTCTTAGAATTTATGGATTTGACCTCAAAGGCAAGGGAACTAAAAGCAAAAATAAGTGAATGAGACTTTATCAAACTAAAAAGCTTCTGCATAGCAAAGGAAACCATCACAAAACAAAGAGGCAACCAATAAAATGGGAGAAGATATTTGCAAATAACACCTTTGATAAGGGGCTAATACCCAAAATGTATGAAGAACTCATGCAACTCAACAACAGAAAACAAACAATCCAATAAAAAAATGTGCAGAAGACCTAAACAGACACTTTTTCTCAAGAAGACATAGAAACAGCCAACAGATATATGAAAAGATGCTCAGTGCACTAGCTATTAGAGAAATGCGAATCAGAACCACAATAAGTGTCCTATGATAGATGATTGGCTGGAGAAGCTGTGGTACATATATACAATGGAATATTAGCCATAAGAAGAGACGAAATACTGCCATTTGCGACAACATGGATGTTCCTCGAGATAATCATGCTAAGTGAAATAAGCCAGACAGAAAAAGTCGAAAATCACATGATGTCACTTATATGTGGGATATAAACCTAAAAGCAACAAACAGGACAAACAAATAGAGACTCATGGACATGGACAGTAGACTAGTGGTTACCAGATGATGTGGGGGAGGTAGATGGGGTAAAAAGTAGTCAAATACGTGGTGACAGAAATCTAACTATGGGCGGTGAACACACAATGCAATATATGATATATGTATGCTTTATTGTTGAGTTGTACACCTGAAACTTACTGGATTTTGTTAAACAATGTCACCATAAAAAAAAAAAAAGTCTATGAGAATGGCTTCTTAAGGCAGACTGCCTTTAAGTGAACCATCATTTATCTCACATGCATAGCTGCAGGGTGTTTCCCCACCCACCCCCACTCCCCCCATCCTCTTTCAACTAATAGTAAAACTGCAGTCTGGTTGCCTGTTTTAAAAAACCTCTTAAAATAATTGCAGTAAGTTTCTTATCAGAGTGGGACTATCAGAAATTTTCTTTAAGAACAAGAATGAAAATTGTTGTAAGACACCTGAATTATTTTTTGAAATGTCAAACTTCAAAGCATCTGTCATTTTTATACAGGCTTTCATTAAGGATGTCAGACTGATAAACACTAGTGTTAGAGACTTATGTTCTAATTTGAGTCTTCATTCCAGAAATGTCACCTAAATGGAATCTTTCTTTAGAATTTAGCTTATAAAAATAATTTGTATATATTTGTTTGATTGATTGATTGAATTAGGCTTCCAGGAATATAATGACATGTTTTTTATAATACTGTGTCATTGTTTCTTTTTTGTTAAATCCCTTTGGAGAAAGCCCCACTAGTTTTCTTAAGTGAAAACAATTTTAATGCCTTGATACAGTCTAAAGTCACCTGTTAAATAGGCCACTTTTACAGAACTCTGTTACCACTGAATTCTATTCTGACTCTGGGATATTGGCCTTTACTCACAGGACCAGGGAATCTGGGAAGTCCAGGAAAATTACATTAAAAAATTACATAAAAAATAAATAATACAAATAAAAAATTACATAAAGGAAAATGTTAATTTTTTCTGGTCTGCTTCTAGTCAACCAGATATAAGATTTGAAACATTTCAATAAAATAAAATATATTAAACTATGACTTTGTGTGAACTGAAGTAAATCATTATATATTTACAGTGCATATGTAGTTGCTATTTCTGGAAATTTAGAATACCTGCGTTTAAAATTTTTTAATTATACTGCTTTAAAGTAGGGGAAGACACATTAGAGGAGCTGCCTATAATTCAGGGTGGAGTCCTTCCAGCTATCTATGGCCATTGAACATGAAGGACGAAAAAAAGTGTTGAATATTATTTTGAGAGAATAATAATGGAAATTGTTCAGTGAACTGTTTTGATTATCTACTGCATGCAAGGTACTCTGATAGTTAAAGGTAGTGGAGAATACAAAGTATAAGATAAGAATCCTGTCTCCTTTCCAATTTAGTGTAGGGGTTCTGATGTTTTAAAAATTAATAAAGAACCAAATTATCCTTGAGAATTAGAACAAAAGTTATTTTTAGATGTTTTCAGAAAGAGGGAAAAATAAAGAGAAATCAACACAAAATTCAATAGAATGACATAAAAGAGGAAGCAGATACCCTAGAAGCAGAGACTCTGATATAGTTGTCCTCTCCTTATGTTGTCTCTAAAGATGATCAAGGAAGTTGGTTTTGTGTGTTTTCAGCTGTAGGCACAAAAATGCAATGCTCATTTCTAAGTACTTGTTCCACATAGGATATAGGAAACTGAACTTCCATAATTCTTGAATTAATTCAGATACATTATTTGATTTCTAGTTACTTTCGTTAAAGTTGAGGAAGAGGAACCTATTTCTTTACACTTAGAAAATCAGGTCCACAAGGGCAGGGATGTTTTTCTGTCTTATTTGCTCTGGTATCTCAAGTTTGTAGAACAGTTCCTGGCATGTCTTAGACTCTCAGTAAGAACTTTTGAATTAATTAAATTTTAAAACTATGGAGCTCTATAAATGGCACTCTTAAGGTCTTTGATTTGTTAACATTCCTCTCCCCCCCACCCCCCGCCCCCATAAAGAGATCAGGTAGCGGAGGCATCAAAGGTGATTCTTAGATTTTGAGCCTGGAGGTTTGGGATGATGGTGGGACTTTAATAGAAATTGAAACCATAGGAAGAGCAATAAATTTAAGAGGGAGTATGATAAATTTGGTTTTGTAAATATTGAATTTGAGATGACAAAATTGGTGTAGCTAACTGAATATGTGGTGAATGATTAGGTTCAGGAAGTCCTTTACATAGAGGTGGTAGTTGAAGTCTTGATTGTAGGAGAAACTGATAGTAATAATGATGAGGCCACTATTTATTGAGCTCTTACTATATGGTAGTCGCTTTGCTTTATATACTGATTTCACTTCATAGTCATATCAACCTTGTTAAGTAGATACTGTTTCCCATTTCATAGTTGAGAACACTGAGGTTTTAGTAAGATAGGGTATATTTCCCAGGGTCACATAGCTGGTAAGTGGTAGAGCTAGGTTTTGAATCTAGACCCATCTTACTCCAAAATCATTAGCTGATGTCAAGTGATAAATGCACGGGAAAATGAGGTATGAACAAAGACTAATATATATTTTCTAGGAATCACTAAATATATTTTCTAGGAATCATTTCATTAGTAACCTTCAAGAGAACTCTTAGAGTTCTGATATAGGGGCAGAGTACATATTGAAAGGAGTTAAGAAATAAATGAATGGGAAATTTTATAAAAATGAAAATGGTAAGTTAAGGGTTGTTTTCAAGAAGTTTTGGGGGAAACAAGAAATAGGACAATAAGGTGACTTTATAGGCCCAAGAGAATTTGGGAATTTTGTTCTAGTTTTTATCTTGTTTTAGGATTTTATTCATGCATGCATGTATTCATTTATTTTAACAAATGTTTATTGAGTGCCTATTCTGTGCCACATATAGTAGGGAGATACAGCAGGGAACAACACAAAATTCTTGCTGTCATGGAGCTTAATTTTAATGGAGGTGGGGCATGGGTGTCAAGGAACAAAATTAATCGTGAAAGTATCAACACAGATAAACACTATGCAAAAATTTAAAGACAGTATAACATGAAAGAAAGTATCTGTGTGGAAGCTTTAGATTGTATAATAGTAAAGGCCTGTTTTGGAGATATTTTCTGGGAATCTGACAGATAAGAAGAATGGCCAGTACGCAGTAAGACAATTCCAGGCAGTGAGAATACATAATGCCAAAGCCTTAAAGTGGGAATAAGCTTGACGTATTAGATGGAGGCTAGTGAGTAAAGGGGAAAGTGGTGTGGGATCAGAGAGGTAGGCAGGATTCAGATCTTGTGGGATTTCGTTAATTGGGGTAAAGAGTATTGATCTTTATTCTAAATGAAGTGGGAAGTCAGACACTTGAAGAATTTTAAGCAGGGAATTATACATGATCTAATTTACGTCTTCAAAGGAGCACCCTGATTGTTGTGTAGACAATACATTTATGGGGGGAGAAGTACAAGTAAAAGCAGACTGGTTAATAGATTTTGCTCTTTTTCACAGAAGAGTTGGTAATAGTGGCTTGGACTGAAGTCTTAGTAATAGAGGTGAGGAGGTCTGATTAGACTTTGAGTGTGTTTCAGGGGAGGAAAGAACAGGACCTGCTGATGGATTAAATATGGGTTCAAGTCACAGTGACTTCTGGATTTGGGGCTTGAACAGCTGGGCGAATGAATGGGCAATATGAGAGGGGGATCTGAGCATGATTACATTGAAATGAAAGATCCATCGAAAGGAAGAATATTGAAGTTTGCAAGGGACATTATTCATGTTGAAGTAAGGTCCCAAAGGAGTGAGCACACAAGAGGGAACTGATTCAGATATGTATAGGAGTTAG